GTGGGTAATGAGCCGATATTTGGATCATTTAACTATCATGCGTGTCCTGCATACATCATACATTAATCTGATTGTGTGTGTATTGGTCAAAAGGACGCTACTGAGCCTTTTGCATATCGCAATAAAGGAGTTGCATATTAAAATGTTTGTTATGGAAATAAATTCAATTAGCCATTGGTCATCGGTAGTGGTGAAGTTATGGATTCCATATTTTAAAACCTTGGGCTGAGAACTCGTTGTTTTCTAATTAATTTGTAAAAATATCCGAATAAAAGTTAAGAATATGTTAAAACAAATTTCCTCGATGCAGATATTCATAAGCCAGAACTGAGCTTGTAATCGTGTACATAATCTCATCTGTTTAAATGGCAGCTATAGTAGATATCACAATTAGATAGAAAGCTTTCGGCAGAACCTTATTTTTATAGAGGTTGTCGTTTACATATGCATCTGAGGTGCATGAAACATGATAATATCTGATTATTTTGCCATATTTGGTAGATAAGACCTGAAATCAAGAAATACTACCACACTCACTACATTTCTCAGACCTGGCGCCTTCTGAAGGGGTAAAAAATCATCTGAATAACTTGTTTGGCCAGCAAAGAAAAAAAATTTTAGAAACGTGTAGTCATTCTATTGCTAAAAAGACTCAAATGAACAATACAGAATTTAAAAACATAATGGGTAACATAATAGTAATTCATTTTTTTTTGGATGAAAATGGAGCCATATTTACCATATTTGATCCAACGATCCGATTTAGGGCAAACACGCGCGGTTTTCTTCAATAACTTGTTGCCATTTTAAAGGTAATTATGTCTCTCTAATAGAAGTTCTAATCCTTATTGGCAAAAAATTGAGATAGTCGATTTACATAGGGCTCTCTTGCAGTGATTTTTTTGTCAGAAAAATCGTCTATCGTATGCCATGGACAGGAACAGGTGATAATCTGTTCAGATTTGGTGCCAGGCCTGATGGATAAAGTGTTTGCATATGAACCAAGGATCCGGTGCTTTTGACAAGTCATTATCAATGTCATTAACACAATTCCTTTTCTATTATCCAACGCTAGCCGTTTCTGGGCTGTTACTTCCGTTAGACAGATAGATGGACTTATTTAAATGGTTTCAAATGGTTTTTGGTTTAAATGCAATCTTTACCTCTTGTGCAATCGACTGTTTCGATATGACTCGAACAAGTCAAACTGGACAATCTCCATAATTTTACTGAAATTTTTGCAATCGGCTTTCCAGTGTGTGTTGCATCGTAATCTGTGACATCGAAATTATCGGAACGGAATCGACGAAACTAAAACTACGCATGATTGACTGTTACAGTATGAAGACCATAAACACTATTCACATTCTTAGCCAGTTTTAGGTGATAACTAATAACTAAAGAAAATTAGCTCTTCAATTACATTGTGCAGCTACGAGACCGGCTCACATATTCATCCTGTCCCTTATGGCAAAATAAAAGCTGCTGCTGTAACCAGTGACTCATGAATCTTAATCAATGTCGGAAACCAGTAAAGTAAATTATAACCGTAGCGGAAGAGCACCGACAGGTAAAAAGGTAGCAGGTAAAAATATACTTAATTTTTTTCTACACCGGTTTCATGTTGGTCGAGAGCAATTAATATGACGCACATATATTTTTTACCGTTACCACTGATTGGTGGATTTAACACTCAACCGATCGACCAATTTTATTCAACTAAAATTGATTAGCTAAAAATTATTAGTATTTTTTAATTATATTTATTTTTGACGGTGTTATGGCGGGAGTTTATAGTATTAACTAAACGTGACGAGCAAAACCTTTTTAAAACCTCGAAAGCAACCCTTTGAATTATATTATATTGCTTGGACTACATCCAGAGATGCGACAATTGCCACTGAAGCGACACTGAAAAACTCCAAGCTATTTGATAGTAGCCAATACTATTCCAAACCAATATGATTGATTTCTTGTGTATACGTTTTCCGAAATATAATTGTGATGTCTTCAATATTGTACCAATTCAGTTAATAAATTTTGGCTAAAATCAAATTCGTTCGCCTTTTCTTGTTCCTGTACAGGTGCCAAATATTGAAAATTTGAAAAGTTTGAATATATATATACACATTCAGTTCAGACGATTCGCACACTAAAGAAATTTGGATATATCGATAGTCCTGACTACTTGAGGTTGATCCCCTTAATGGGAATATCGTTGTGACTATAGTTTAAACCCAAAGTTACGTAGGTAAAAGGATTGTCTTCATTTGCTTTGTTCGATATGGGGCCACATTTTAATAATAGTTTTAATTTGTACCGCCAAAGTTCTTTGGAATTAAAATAGAGCGCTTATAAGTGTTTTATACCGATACATATGTTAAGCGCACCGTGGTGTTAAGACTTTACGGCAGGTAAGTACGTTGCCACGAAAAATGACATATCTGAAACCAAACATGAGTTATGACTTAGGCGTGTTATCTTCGTCAAATCGATATGTTGGAATAAGACTCGAGAATGTGTCTTTGAAGATATATTTAAAATTTTATTTAAAATTTATATGTCTTTAGGTAGATTTCTCTAGCATGCACAGCAATTTTTTTTAACTTATTATAAAAAAAGAAATTATTATAAATAGAATAAGAACAGATATCATACCACGTCGTTAGGAATTGCTAACTTGTACCCATTTTATACTTAACGAGTTAATGAAGATTAACTGCACAACATTCTGAGGTCGCTACTGTTGTATATGTGTTTTTTATTTTCAAATTCTCTTGATGCCAACCTACTGAACACCATTACAGCTGAACACCAGCGTTTATCTTAGTATTGGTTCCTTTAGTACCATGTTTCCACTGCTTCCTAAGTAAGTTACTTAAGTAATTTTAAATTTTATCGTTTCCATTGCCATAATTTACTATTGCATGCAAAAGAGCTTTTATATGTCAGAAAGTTCTTTGTAAGTTCCTGTGTATTTGAAATAAACTTTACTTGATAATATAACAAACAAAAGATAATATATATAACTGATATATTAAATCAATTATACATATTTACATATATTTGATATATCGATTATATATTCAATAAATAAAATCAGAGATTTTATTAAATACTTACGTTTCTTTACATTTTACATATAAAAGATATGACAAGTATTTTAAATTTTGGTAATTTCTCTTGCGGGGAAATTTATTTTTAAGGGTTGCGTTCGACATTTTTGGTCTAATTTCCCTTACTTTATTTTAAAGTAAGTTGAAAAGCACGAATGCTCTTTGGTTAATGAAATTTACTGAGTAAGTTATACTTACTAAGTACACAGTGGAAACATACTATAAGTCTACGCTCTTACATGTATTAATATATTTAGTATATTTAGGCTACGTTCTAGTATACTATTAATGTAAATTATTTAATATATTTACTTAATAACTGGGTTTCATATTTTCCTGATATCTTTTATTATAATTACATTTATAAATTACTAATAGATAATGTAGAATCTGAAATGTGACAGATAAAACCATACTTAACCGAGTTTGGGAACACGTCTACTTATAAAATCGCTTTTAAAAAATATTGACCTATGAAATTTCTTGAAAAAAAATGTCTAAATAATTTTTTTTAAATAATTGTTAAAGATTATTTTTAAAATTAAGCGGTCTTACATAAATTAGACTAGGAAATGCTTGCCATATCATTTTCATATATAATTGACAAAACTAAAATAGTTCATAATTTAAATAATAAATTAAGGATTTTAAAATTTGAAATATACTCGTATTCAATTTTGTTTAAATTTTAATTAAATCATTTTATTATTTTTTATAACATCTCAATTAATTATCTTAATTAGGAGTTACTTAAATTTAATGAAAATTAATGAGAAAATATATTATTTAAATATTAATTTTAATAATATTATTTTTATTTAACTTCAATACTAATTAATTATTTTTAATTATTAATTTAATTAATGAAATTAATAAGAAAATTTGTAAACATTTCCTGGACTAACTAATTCCAAATGGTTAGTACCATTCAATATAAAAATGTATTTACATATTATACATTATAAATGTATACATTATATACATACATTATAATTATATAAATTCGATCCTATGTAGTTATATACTCTGCTATCTGAATCTCAACTATTTTAAATCCACTTAAGGCATGTAGAATATAGTATATGGAATAAAATGTATTCTATTAAATACGGCTTGTGAGTGCAAGAGTCAATTTAAGTGAGGAATGGACAGATAATAAAGGTGCCGTATATTTTTTAGAATAATTTTTTTTTATAATATAATTAAAATAAATATATATTTATGACAATCTTGAAATACTAACAAATCGCGTAAAAAGTTAATATCTGAACTCCATTAAGGAATTTTATAGCTTAACTTTTGTAATAGACCGGATAGTTTTTGTACCAGACCGACTTTTCATACTTCCCACTGCCCGAGTAAGAACAAGATTTTAATGTTTTTATTTTTAATAATTTTTTTAAGCTTTTACATTTTGAATTATAATTTAAAATTATTTTAAGACGTTGAGTTTCTATATATATATATATATATATATGTATATGTACGTTTTATAATATATATGCATAGTTGTGTGTTGGAGTGTTCAATATACAATATGCTTTTACAATTAAATTTGGAGCAGATTCTTATGCCTTCTTCAGTGGAGGTGTGTGTTTGTTGTGATAGAACAATCAATCTTATCTCTGATAAAAATTAATTATTTATTTTTTATTATTTCATTTATTTATTATTATTTTCTTCATATATGTTTTACTTTTTTTAAATATTTTTATTTTTTATTTTTAAATTTTTTATTTCTTTAAATATTCTTTTCTTTTCAGTAGAACTTTTTACAATAACATTTATTTGATATCACTAGCTTTTGTTTCAAGGAATTTTAAAATAATAGTAATAAGAATAAAATTAAGATTAGAACAATAATAATTATAATATTTAAATTGACTGAATGTGTAGGCTTAACATAAAAAATAACATATAAATAATCTGCTAATTAAATAAGGTAATAAAAAACACTCGTTCAGTACGTTGAACCCGCTTATCATTTCTATTATGGATGAGAAGAGCCCATGCGCGAGCCATAGATAGAGTAAGGATTGAAGTATTGAGCCAAAGTATGATGCGGTGCCAGTTGCAGGCTAGCAAGTGAAGCAGGTGGTGGCCCCAGTGCTGGAGGCAACATAGGTGGCTTTCCGTATGGGTGGTATCGTGCTGCAGATAGTGGGCTGAGTGGTGGTGTTGGATACGTGCGTTGAAAGAGCGGATGATTGGGTGGTATGCCACCTGCGGCAGCAGCACTAAGCACAGAGTCTGGCATGGATGCTGTATGGGTGCGTAAGTGTTGAAAGAGTTCATCAGATGTACCAAAACGTTTACCACAATAAGCAGCATCACTACCGATCCATGAGCAAACGTAGGGCATTTGTGAAGCAGCTGCTAGAGCAGCTAATTGTGCATGATATGATGAGGCGGCTGCTGCCGCAGCAGCTGATGCTGCTGCTGCCGAACTGCTACTGGCGCTCGGAGGTTTGCCAGCTTGTGAACCTTCACACTGAGGGCAGCCTACAGGACACGGTTGACCAGCGGCTTTGTTAAGATAGTGAGGACTTGACGGACAACCTGTACAATATGGATCGCGACAGACATTCGGCGGCATCATGGCAGATGCTGTGGCCGGATCAATTCCTTTCATACGCGCATAGTTTATATAGGGATTCAGTGCAGCCGCCTTAAACATGGGATGATGTGGCGACATCAGCGCACTAGCCGTTATTAAGTCCATAGTATAGGGCATACCACTAGTTGAGTTAACATAATTTGTGTAGTAGGGATTTGCGGTTGAGGCGCCGTTAGTAGTTGATGTTGGTATGCCGGCAGCGGCGGCAGCTGCATGCAAAGCCTTAACATAACTTGCCTCTTTAGCAGCTGCGATTGCGGCATCCGAAGCCGCTTGTAGGCGTGTTGTTGAATTACTTGGGCTAGCTTGTGAAATTGTTGTCGTGGTCATTGGTAGCTGTTCTTTAGATGAGGCACGCTGTGAACTATTCAAGTGATGTTGTAGATCTATGACATTTGTTGATGGTACTCTTTGCAGACCATTGGTAGGTGTTGGAGTTGGTGTAGCTGTTGACGTCGCTGGTGAATCTCTTTGTGAAGTGGCACTTTGGTTTGAATCGCAACGCATTTGACCAGTTGGTTGAGTTTGCTGATGTGGATGTGTTTGTAGGTGCTGATGACCATTTTGTTGAATAACATTTGTTTTTGGCGTTTTCACTCTCTGGCTACTTTGATTATTTGTTAAATTGGTGGCACGTTCCACTTCAGCGTCACTCCTTTCACGGATATGACTGTTGTTAGTTTCATACGGCTTGAAGCTTGATTTGACTTGTTGATGTTCCACAGAACCCGTAGATACCGACGACGAATGACTGCTCACAGGAGAAGATTTGTCCCTTACATCCCCTGCTAAGGACTTTAGCGATTTCGTTGATTTTTCTATATTTGCTGCTAATAATTTTGGGTTTGTAGTATCGGCACCAATTGCACTACATGTTTGCGCTAGAAGCGCTAACGGACTGCTTTTGTTATCCAGCTGAAATGAAACAAAATAAAGATGCGTTGATAAGTAAATATTAAATATTAATTTTAATATATTAGTTAATTATACTTTATACATATTTAAATTTTATATTATAAAAATAATTAAAACAAATAAACAAAGTAAGTATGTATATGTAATGTTGATTTACAGAACTCAGCTGGTTTGGTACAGTAGAGTACTTTTTTATAGATGTAGTACGGCGTGACACATTACCATAATTATTGAAAGAAAAGCATATCATGAGATAGAGATGTAAATAAGGATTTTAAAACTAAAATTGTAAAAGTGAATTTAATTCAAAATGTATTTGGATCAAGTACTATAGATCTTCCGTAAGGTTAACTTCAATATTGAAATACTTTCACAACTGTTATTCATATTTTCAGTGCACTTATATATGATTATTTGTGCAAGTATATATAGGATTATTATTTAATATAGTTTTTTTTGATTTGAACTTGCTCAAACCATAAAATTTTGTGGACCAGAAAAAGCACTTTCTGATAAAAAATTGGTTAATAAGTGACGGAAGTCATTAGTGATACGGCACTCTAAGCTACCGCCTGGTAAATAAGCAGTATCGTTCTTAAAATTACGAAAAGATCTCCATACTCAGTACGAACAGAACTATGGCCGCTGGGAGATTATATAATGGATCACTGGAGCTTACGCAACCATCTCAACAAAACACCCAGTGATAAAATATGCGATGAATTTAAAAAGGTGATGATCCAAATTATAAAAAAAAATTACTTCCATAATGTGTAGGCTTAAAAGCCAGGTTTGTTGAACCAAATACTCAAAAAGCAGCACAAAATGAGATAAAAATGAGAAAATGGAAATGGATAGACCATACGCTTAGATAAATGAGAGATTACATAGCGAATCAAGCATTGGCATTGAATCCATAGGGAAGTAAAAGACCTGTTGCCCCAGTAAAAATGTGGAGAAGAACGATGGAAAGTAAGCTAGCTGAAGCACGATATGCATGGAGCGACATCTATAGAGAAGCACTAAATAGAGTCAGATTTAGAAGAATTATTGAGACCCTATACTTCACTGACAAAAGTGGATCATAGCTGCAGAAGTAGACTTTTATTATTGAATAGATTGTTCAGTCTTGGGTATTTGCACAAAAGTTGGTCACTGCTCTCTTTTGCAGAGTCTTATTGATGGGCAACAACATATGCAAAATAAACATGGCCGATCCATTTAACTTTAAGGAGACCTGATGGTGATATTTACAATTTTATTTGACACCAAATGATTTAGTAACAAAACTTTTCTGAGGTTAGATAGAAACAATCAATATATTCTAATAAAAAAAATACAAATCCAAAAATTGGGGGAGCGAGTAATTTAAAGCTCTCACTCCACTCCTGGCAACATTCGCACAAATACTCATTCGCATAAATTAGAGGAACTTCGCATTTATTTATAGGATTTGCTCCAAGACTGTTTTTTTTTTTGTATCTTATTTGTTGTTGTTGTTGTTTTTGTTTTTGTTTTGTTGCTGATTGTGAGGAGACACTCTTCAGTCACATCGTAAATGTAATTTTTATTACCTCAACGCCGTCGTCCTTTGAAGTGGCGTTTATCTGATTTCTGCTGAAGTTTCCGTTTTTGCTATTTTCGCTTACAGCTCGCACTCCCCTCGTAAGGCGCTGCCATTGCGATAAGAATTTATGATTTCACTAATGTGTTTTTATGATTTTTATGGGATTGTTTTTATTTACTTTCGTTAATTTTCTTTTTTTTTATTATTTCAATTTTATTTTTATTTTTATATATTTCTTTTTTTTTTTTTTGGTTTGTCTTTGATGCATATTTTAAATGCTGCTTTTTAACGCACAAGTTCATATCTCCGCACTGCAAATGATCCGAAAATTGTATGGGGGTCTTGAAAGTTTTACGCGTTCCAGATAAGATACGCACTTGCAGAGCTCATTTACTGCATTATGATTTTATTTAATGTTATGGTGTTGCGAATTTTTATTGCCGTCAAGTGCTTTTTGTCTCTTTTAAAGGCTCTATTTTGGCTAATTTATGGGGCAATTATTTTTCGTTTATGTGCTGCGACTGCGCTCGGTATTTGGGTATTCGTACATATGAGGACGAGTACATTGCACGCTCAGAGTGTAATGGATACGTAGGCACATACAGATACAGATGTACACGTCTTATCTGCGAGGATAAGAATTGAAATATATGACACTTATGGAAGTACATTATTGACATAAACAATAATTTTTGGGTGTATGTATGATGTCTGCCCCAATAAAATGTAGCCATATTATGTCATGTTACGTGTTTTAATGGCTAAGACAAAATATTCTTAAATATTAAGAATAAATAAGATTTTGGTACAACAATTTATTTCTTATAAAAATAACTGCTAAACGCTTATGAAAATCGTATAGTGCTACATGCGTTGGTTTTTTTATAGCTCTTGTACACGTAATCCGAAATCGGTACATTGGAGAACTGGCGAGCTATTCTGAGGGTATTAAAGCATACATAGGAGTATGTGAAAAGTATGAAGACTATTTATAAGCTCAACCACATAAGTCAATCCCTCTGCTTTTAAAATAGGTTAATAGGTTAAACTTTCCGCATACTTTTTGTTAGTATCAGTACAGCTTAAAGGAGATATGTTATGTAAACTATTTGAAAAAACCATTTCTAAGCATGTGAGGCTGATTTGACTGAGGTTATTTTTTCAATATCCTTTTTTTGGAATCCTGTTTCAGATCAGTTACCAAATTAGTATACAGTATCTCTTGCACTTAAACAACTTAGTTTGGAAACAACTTATATATATCATACGATGGTTTGCATTACTTGGACAATGGCAAATTTCTTGCACTTACACCAGTTACTTCATAACAACCTATATATGTCCAATATCATGGCATTTCTTTAACAGAGGCATTATCTCTTATACGATATATATATATGTTATACGATGGTTTACATTACTTGCACAAAGGCATTATTTCTTACATCTATGTTATTTAGTTCAATAATTGTTGAGTTCCATTTGGATTAGTTTAGATTTCAATACACTTCCTGCTAAATTGACTGTTTAGGAACTCAAGTTATTAAACTCACTAAAATATTCTCACTAGCTTTGGTCTCAAATTATTGTAACAAATATATTACCAAAAAACATGTGTATTTTAACAGTGAATGTACCATATATAGTAATTTTCTCAATAGGTTGATAACACTGTACCTAATTACTGTACCCAACATAAGCAAGATATGTGAATCAATCTTCGTAGAGCAGTTGATTAATTTCATCTAATTCTTTAGTAGATCACAATTTTGCAATGCAGTATTAGGTTTCAATTCTCTGCGAACTCTATTAAATTTTACTACATAAAATTTTGTATGGTAAAAAAGACATTAGTGGTTTTGGATTAAGGAAAATTAGAGATGAGGAATTAATTTAGAATTTGTCGAGAATTTATTAATGTCAATAGAATTTCTCTGACTGACTCACTTAGAATTTTTGAAAATGTTTATAATTCCTTTGCGGTTTCTTAAATACTAATTTATGTGGGAAACAAACCATATAAAAATCAATGAAAGAATTTTGAAAATGCCTTCATTTCTTTTACCAATAAAAACATTAATAAGTAAAAGAATTTGGAACTGATATTTCTCAATCCAAATAAATCTGAAAACTTATTGATTGTACATACCATCATATAGCTTATAAAGATCTTATAAAATCTTTGAGTTTTAAATGGACTGTGCAAGTTGCGGTAGATGGAATTAACGAAGTTACAAGAAACAAAAGAATTTCGCAACTGAAGTGAATTCACTAAAATTACTTTTGGGAAAAGTCTTTCAATTTTCGGATATTCCTTGTTTATTAGGTAAATTTACATAGTAAAATAGTCATCAGCTTGCATTTTGTGAGCTATTTGCTCATGAGAGTGTGCTTGAGGCAATTATTATCGATCGTTTCATGAGCAACCTTCCGTATAGGAAAGAAAAAGTGTTTAGAATGTTGAAACTATTCACTGTGATATCGTTAACAGAAATACTGACCATCGCCATGTAGAATGGATTCATTTTTATCTCGAAAATCTTGAAAGATCTTGAACATTTTTAAGTACTTGGATGTCAAATATCTTTGACTGTTTCGAACATCTTCGACAATCGAGAATATTTTTCAGCACTTCGAACATTTTCGAATATCTTAAATATCTTTAATCTTAATCGTCTTCGAGCACCTCGATTTTTGAGTCGATCGAGCAAAAAAAACCTTGAGCAGCTTGAATTCTTCGAACTACTTAAAGTGTTCGAACATCTCGAATACTTCAAATAGCTCGAATACTACAAACAGCTCGAATAGCTCGAACAACTTGAACACTTTGAATAGTTCGAATATTTCGAACAGTCCTTGTACTTCAAACAGCTCGAGTACTTCGAATACCTCAAATTTTTTAAACAGCTCGAATACTTCAAGTGACTCGAACGTTTTTGAGCGTTGCAAGCATTAAATTTAAATATTTTCGAATTCGATAATACACGTGAAGCTCGAACATTTTATGATGTTAAGTGAAATTCATTTGCTTAATTATATTTTTGACATTTCTATGGTTGGCCAGTTATTGCTTCTGAATTGTAGGTTACCTGAATTGTATGTAGGAAAATTCGAAATTAATATCGAAAATGTATTTTTTTTCGAAGATCGCTTTTGTTGATTTAACAAAACCGAATTTAAATTAAGAAAATTTAGAAAACTTCTATTTCAGTTAGACTATTTAGCAAGTCTATTGTAAGAGATATGTATGTGGATAAAAAAATTCTGTAGATATTTTGTCTAAAGTTAGAAGTAAAAAATCACCGCTATTTTTCCTTGAAATCCAATAATTTACACTTTGCTAAGTGCTTAAATTGATTATATTGAATTTATAGATAAACCGAGTGCGGCATTGATATGCAATAGGTTTAGTACTTAGTGGCTAGTGCCTAGT